TGGCATGTTCTGACTTTTGGGTACCCTAGTCTATATGGATGTACAGCTCCCTAGGCCTGGATGTAGGAGGGAGGACCTTGGACTTCCCACAGGGTAGGGTTCCCTGCCCTCGCTCAAGCAGGAAGGGAGGGGGAGGGAGAGGATATGGGAGAGTGGGAAGGGATTGGGAGGAGGGAAGGAAGTGTAAATATTTAAATGAAAAAATATTAAAAAAAAAACCTTCCTAAGTCACCCTTATAAATATAAGCCAACAAAGATTCTTTGATTTTTTTTAAAGATCCTTCCAGGTTTTTAATTCACAATTCTTCTTTTTCCAGACAGTTAAAGTTTATAGTAAGTCTGGTACTTTAAAATCTATACTGATACTGATCAGTGGTGCTGGAAAGCTAGAAGCAGGAAGCTACATGTGTGCACTGGCAGGCAGCGAGGAAGGCAGAGGTGCTGAGTTCCTGGTTGTGGTTGGTAGTGGTTGCAGTTTCTCATGGTTCAGCAGTCAAGGGTCAAGTCCATCATATTCAATACCATTGGGGCATAATAGACCTCTTATGAGATCTCAATTTCAGACTCCGCAGCACCCCTCAGCTAAAACACCGTTTCCATTGATTAAGGACAATGAGGGATTTGGCTTCTAAGAGGATGGCAGGGCACTTAGAAGTTGACCTAATACAGGTATTCTACTTGTGAAAGGCTAGAAGTCACTATGCCATCTTTGAGGAAGATGAAAGTTGAATTAAGGTGGCTCAGAAGTAGGTCTAGAGCCAGCTCCACACTTAAGTTCTTGAGGACCTCTTCCCACCAGCTAGTTCTGCCTGTTATATAGCCCCTACAAAGGATTTATATGCCCCTGTTGAGACTGCTGCATCAATAGACACTTTCCAGGGACTTCTGGGATCAACCTCTCCTCTAGATGCAGGTGTAATGCTGGTGGGATAGTAATGTTGGGTCAGGCATTGGGGACACAAGCTATCAACAGCCATCTCTGTGCTAGACATGAAAATTTGCTATGATGTGTGGCAGAGATTCAGTGGCTAAGTGGTGTAGGAGGTCTTTCTCTTTGTGTGTTGCTTTCATTGGTTAATAAATAAAGAAACTGCCTTGGCCTAGTTGATAGGGCAGAACTTAGGTAGATGGAGACAACAGAACTGAATGCTGGGAGGGAGAGAGGCAGAGTAAGAGGGAGTTGCCATGGAGCCACCAGGAACAGACATGCCAAATCTTTCCTGATAACCCACTACCATGTGGCAATATACAGATTAATAGAATTGGGTTAAATCAAGATGTGAGAGTTATTTAATAGGAGGTTAGAGATAATGGGCTAAGCTGTGATCTAATTAATACAATTTCTGTGTGGTTTTTCAGTGCAAAGCTAGCTGGACAGCCGGGAAGAACAAGCAGGCCCTCTCCCATACAACAATTGCCATTCCAACGTAGTCAACAAACTCCATGTAAAACCTGAGAGGGCTTAAAAAGACATTCTGGACAATACATACATACACACACACACACACACACACACGCACACATATATATGTATATATATATGTGTGTGTGTGTGTGTATATATANTCAATCTCTTGTGCTTGTAGGGAGGAGGAGAGAGAGAGAGTAGAGAGAGAGAGAGAGAGAGAGAGAGAGAGAGAAAGGGGGGGAGTTTAACACAGCTTTTTGTTGTTTGCTGGTAGTGTGCCGCAACTCCTTTAAGAGAGATTTTCCTGACTCAGCAGCCACAGCATTAAAAAAAAATGTGGCAGTTTTAAAATGCCGGCTTTATGGGCTATGCTGCTAATGCGACCTCTGTCTCTTGCAGGAGACAGAGCATTTGAATGGACTTTGTGATTAAAGTGCTGCTGCTTGTTTGATGGAAACATGGACTAGTGGGGCAATGCGTGTGGCTCAGAGGCACAAGCAGCTCAGAGGCACAAGTGGCTCTGCCATGCTGAACTGTGCAGAGCTCGGGCAGGAACTAATGTATTTATCATTATAATAGCATAGCTTAAGTTTTATACTGGGCAGGCAAACAGGAAGTACCATATTACCCCTACTAATGACACAACTTAAGTTTTTAAGAAGCGCTTAGCATTTTAAGAAGTGCTCCTGGACAATAAAGAATTACAGGTTCATAATAGAACATATTCAGACATAAAAGACCTCTAAATTGGTCACAGTGTTGGATAAACATACATAGGCTTGGAAGAGAGAAGAAAAAAGTACAGAGTCATAAAATAAAGTTAATGCTTTTAAAAAAAAGTAAAACCTTTAAAGGGATAGAGGACAGATAGCCATAGATTTAAAGGAGTAAAGAAAAATAAGCTACATAAGAATGAAAAATTCACAGAGTCTGGATTCTGTATGTTATTGTGGGTTTTTTTAAGTTTTTTGACTGTAAAGGAGCTAAGTACAAAAAGCCATTTCATTGTATGGGCTGCTAAGCTGAACCAGCATGTATATTATAAAGGTATCTTGACTTCAGAATTTGGGTCTAAGAACATGATGCTTGGCAAAAGAGGTTCTACTTTTGTTTTCACAGAAGATGAGAACTGGTGGATTGCCTTCAGGCAAATATGGTTTCATGGACCAAGGTCTCCTGAAAGGTTGCCATAAACACCCTCAAAAAATTTCTTTGCCCAACTGCTGACTGAGATGAACCTAGCACATAGGATACACCATGAAAGACCTGATTAACAGTGCTCTCAAACATCAGGAAGCAGTATGGACAAATCTACGCCCATATTCCCAAATATTGTTTATAATTGCTTGTTTACATTTAAAGGGGGATATGCTACAGAGATGAATAATTTGCTTTAGTATAGATCTTGGTTTATTGATACAATTTTAAGGTCAATCATGTTGTATGTATATTTCTGCTCTTGATTAAGGTTTTGTGATTGTGTAGTTCCTTTAAAAATGTAATGTGTAATTAAGAAATATAGGTTAATAGATAGCCATCTCTAATAGTCAAGCTTGTAGTCATGTTAGTTAGAGTTTCTAGATATATAGAGATATATTTCAGTTAGATAGGTATTCTTCAGATCTTTCAGAGACCTTCAGAATATGACATTTAAAATGTTTTAAGAACTTAGAACTTTTCATGACAGTGAAACACATCTGCTCCTGGCAGTACAAAGCTACTTCAAAAGGATGATGGGCAGAAGGAACTCCTACACCAGGTATCCACACTATGGTCCTGACATATTTGTTTATATTCTCACTCCTCCCACTCTTCAACTGGACTTTGGGAGCTCAGTCCAGTGCTCCCCTGCAGGTGTCTGCTCCTATCTCCATTAGTTGCTTAATGAAGGTTCTATGGTGACATTTAAGGTAGTCATCAATCTGACTGCTGAGCAAGGCCAGCTCCGGTACTCTCCCCAGTATTGTATATGGTCTTTGCTGGGTTATCTTTGTGAAATCCTGGGAATTTCTCTAGTGCCATGTTTCTTGATAGCCCCACAATGGATCTCTCAATCGAGATATCCATTTTCATTCTCTGTCTCTCTCCTTCCCACATCTCAACTATCCTATTCCCTCAAGTTCTCCTCCCCCTTCCCCTTTTCACCCCCTCTTCCCCTGGCATCTCCCTTCTCCCTCACTCCCATGCTCCCAATTTTGTCAGGAGATGTTGTCTCTTTACCCCTTACCAGGGGTATCTGTATATATTTCTATTAGGGTTCACCTTGTTACTTAGCTTCTCTAGGGGCATGAACTATAGGCTTATTATCCTTTGCTTTACTTATGAGTGAGTAGATACCATGTTCTTATTTCTGGGTCTGGATTACTTCACTCAGGATGTTTTTTTTCTCATTCCATTCATTTACATGCAAATTTCAACATGTCATTGTAATTCACTACTAAGTAGTACTCCATTGTCTAAATGTACCCTATTTTCTTTATCCATTCTTCCCTTAATGAGCATTTCTGTTGTTTCTAAGTTCTGGCTACTACAAACAATCCTGTTATGAGCATATGTTATGAGCATAGCTGAACAGATGTCCTTGTAGTATCATGGAGCATCCTTTGAGAATATGCCCAAGAGTGGTATTGCTGAGGTAGGTTGATTCCCATTTTTCTGAGAAACCACCATACTGATTTCCAGAGTGAATGTACAAATTTGCTTTCCCAAGGGGCAAGCCCATCATATTCGGTACAACTGGGGAATAACAGACCTCATGTGAGATCTCAGTTTCAGACTCCACAGCACCCCAATTAATGAACTGTTACCCTTAGCTAAAGACAATGGAGGCTTTACATCTAGGCCGAGGGCAGGCAACTTCGAAGCTGACATAACACAGACATTCTGCTTCTGAAAGGCAAGAAGTCACTATGCCCTCTTTGAGGAAGATGACAGTTGTATTTTGATGCCTTAGAAACAGGTCTAGAGCCACATCCTCACTTCAGTTCTTGAAGACCTCTTTTCACTGATGGCTAGTTCTTCCTCACCATAGGCTCCAGAAAAATTTGGTACTCCCCTGTTGTGACTGTTGAAGGCACACACACCTTCCAGGTACTTCTGAGGTCAGCCTTTCCTCTAGCTACAGGTGCAATACTGGGAGGATGGTGATGGTGCGTTAGTTGTTGGGGACACAAGCTCTCAACAGCCGTCTCTGAGCTAGACATGGCAATTTGTTATGATGTGTGGAAGAAATTTCATGGCTAAGGCATTGCGATTTGTGGAAAGAAGAGATGAGGACAAGGAGAGAGAATAGGAAAAGGAAGGACAGTGAAAGAAACAGCAGAACAGTGCAAATTGTTCTGGATGTGAAATCTCACAGTACACACGTGTATATGTGAGGGATTACCCAGTAATCCACAGTGGCACACCCTGTGCCAGGAAACCACTGGTCAAGTTTACAAACATGGTCAGAGAATATCACCTGACAACTCTTAACTCAGCTTAGAGAAGTTCTACCTGTGTGTGAGGGACTGAGTTAGTTTATGCACAGTGTGGAGTCTCAGAGCTAATGGAGAGATCATCTTTATTGAGCTGCATTACAGGGAACAGTTAATCACCAGAACCTTGAGTATCCTTAAGGTCCTCTCAGAGACATGCTATGACAGTGTGGGGACAGGATGGAACAGGCTGAGGACAGGCTGGTGTCAGGTTCATACAGGCTGGACACAGGCTGCTGTTAGGCTGGAACAGGCTGAGTTAGACTAGGGGCGAGTCTGGAGACAGGTTTTTCTTTCATTCAGGAGGTAACAGAAAAGATCTGACTTGAAGAATCTGACTCAGGCTGACAGCCTTTCAGCTATGTTCCCTTATGACTGCATTAACCCAGGACACATATCCAGAGGTTCTGGTGAAGACGGCAGGGGGTTTTGCATCATTACGTCCATAAGATACAATACCATGGGCCACCCCAGCACAGACTAGAGGTCCCCCGGAGTCTCCCTGTAGGTTGCAAAAAAAAGCAGAGAATGAGAAGAGATCACTTTCCCCAACTACAGACCCCTCACCATAGCTAAACCCAGAGTGAGGTAAGGAGTTCTGGCTCCCTGTGAGCCATGAGTTAGGGCTTGAAATTTTTCTACTGTCTTGACACAATGTTTAGGTTGTCTCCCCCTCACTCCCTTCTATTGCATTCTAGGACCCTGGGGGAAAGTTACAGGAAGGGCTTGGATGGGGTATGAGAACTAGAGGGGAAACTGCATTTCCCAGACTCACAGCCAAAGAACACAGGTGTAGGTCAAGGCAGTGGAGAGATGATTGACCCACTCCCTTCTCTGACACTGTCTCCTGATGTGGAGAGAGAAAATATGTTGGTACTCACCTTAAACACTGATTGTATGTTTCCTGGACGGCCCACACAGACCTGGACGTCATCTCTATAATTCGAGTAGTGCTTACAAGCCTCTTTTTCCATGATTCTTAGTGTCACCTCCCTCAGTTTGACTGACAATGGATCATTCACTCCAGTTTTGCCCCATCCAGCTGCCAGGCACATATGTCCAGGTTTAATAGAGTCGCGGGGACTAGGCAGGGGAATTTTAGCCACAGCAGGAGTGATCTTAGCTTTTCTTTGAAGCTGTGAGGAGGAAGGAGAGAAGACATGGTAACCCAGAGAAGGATGATGTCTTTGGCATGGGTTCTTTCCCACTGTGGTGGTAAAGACAAGGAATTCGGGGTAGGTTCTGAGGAAATGGGTTGAACAAGAGAAAATTCAAAGTACTGAGCCAAAAAAAGAGTTAAAGAAGGAGATTTAAAAGGGCAGGAAAAATAATGGCACCTTCAGCAACATGATGTCATGCAGGTGCGGGTAGACGTTGTACTGTGGGTGAATGATTTGTTTTTCGACTTTTATCTTCTGCTGTGTGGGTTCTGTCTTGCTCACATCATGAGCCCCAAGAGTGACAATAATTTCTCTGTTGAAAGAGAAAGAGAGGGAGTAAAAGTGCTGATCTCAAAAGAAGGACTCATTTCAAGCAGAGGGACACCAGGTCTTCTCTATTCCACAGCAGAGAGACCCCAATTGTAGTTGAGATGAAGCTTCAGGACCACAGACTTCCCAGAAGCTATAAGCTCAGCAAAACAGTGCTGAGAACTGGCTCCGCCTTCTCATATTTGGACTGAACCCATGGCTTTAAATGAGGTAGACAGGCACTCAGTGAAGTTCCACACCAGCCCATAACTAAGTGCTCCTGTGACAAAAGGAAAGTAGCCCTTTGTCCTCCCAGAGCCCTGCTTAAAGCTCTGTCCTTTGAAAATGGAGATAACAAAGAAAATTGTGCAATGAATGGCTTTGCATTCCCTTTGTCTTCACATTATAAGTAAGAGTCCATCTGGAGGTGAGCAGGGACAGGACCTTTACTCAGGCCCCTGCCCCTCTGTGACTCTGGTTCATGCATTTCTTCACACAAAGAGAGTCACCTACCTGCCTTTACAGTGTGCAGCCGTCATCACAAATTCTTCACTTATGAGAAACCCACCACAATTGCTAGTGGTAACTCTGTCAATGACGATCTCCAGATGGGCCAGGTAAGGGCGGGAGTGTGGTCTTGACTCCACACCACCAATAATCTCCTCTGAAACAAAGAACACAGTGTCCCTGGTCACATATTTGCAGGACACCCCAAAACAGTGGCAGCAGATGAAATGGGGGCTAAAGCTGAGTAACTGCTCCCCGTCCCACCCCATCTCTTGGGGTCAGGACCCTCCAAGCATCCTCTGATCTTTCCTCCCTGTGGTTCTTTCCTCTCCAGCCCTCCCTATCCACCATCATCCTACATTTCAGAACATAGTGGTCAATCATGTTTCTGATGCCAGTTCATTTAGATAGTTCTTCACCTACATCCTATCTTCCTCAACACTGATGGAAGGACAGCGAAGAGCTGCCTATCAGAACAACATGTATTCTGATGAAACAATGTGAAAGGAAATGAATTATTCATCCCTACTTGACTGAAGAGAATTTCTGGATGACACAAGGAAGATCATGCTTATCAAAGGATATGAAGGAACAGACCAAACTCACCAGCTCCAGCTCCAGGAGGCAAGAGAAGGGCTAACAGGAAGAGTATGGCCTGCATTTTCCCACTGGTGCAGTCTATTCCCCGTTCTCTGCTGTGGCTTACCTGGTCCCTGCTTTTATAGTTCCAAACCAGGAGAAAGGCAGGAAACCACCAAGCTGGCCTGGTCAAGCTTTATCTTCCTAATCAGAAATTCTCATGACTCTGCTCTCTGCTATTGTTGAATCTCTGACCAGATCCTGAGAGTCCTGGATCCCATGATGAGGTGCCTACTCCACCCTCCAGAGTTTATCCTCAGAGGCAGACAGGAACACAGATCCTGGGGAACCTGTTCAGGAATCAGTTTATTGTCAGCTTTGAGGTCTCTGTAGTGTATGTGTAGTGATCCTCCTCTGTTGTGCTTGCACAAACACAGGCATCTGTGGTGTGAGTGTGTACATTTTACTTACAAAGCCTGTGGTGGGCTCATTGAGCCTGACGGACTTTATATGTGTTGTTAAACGGGATGGAACCTCTGATTTATTTTAATGAGTAGTAGATGATAGAATGTGGTTGAGAGGGAAGAAAGAATGGGGAGAGTGTATTGAATACACAGATACCAGGTAGGATGGACACCTTCAGATGGTAGTTCTCACCCTTCCTAATGCCCTGAGCATTTAATGCTGCTCCTTGTGGAGTGACGAACTCCAACCATAAATTATTGTTGTTGCTACACTTAATTAGTTAGTTTCGGAATCTTATGAATTTCAGTTCCAGTGGGATGAACAGAAAACACCTCCGAAGGCAGAAAGTACCACATCTATGCTCTGTATGGGATCTCGGGTTTCTGTCTATACACTGAGAGCCATATGGGCTTGATAACAACATAGCATGTGTGCAGATCAGTATTTGAGGCAGTACTTGGTGCTTTCGTTATTTCATGATCACTGGAAATCAAACAGTGCTCTCAGATAAACAGGAACATATTCTTGATTAGAAATTTTATTCTTGCTTATTTGATTACAAGCTGAAACGCTGTGCATCTTGGAACAATTGACATATCATATCTCTGGTCTGAGCTTTCTTTAGATCCCATCCACCCTAAGTATAAGTGTTTCCATTTTACAGGTGAGAAAATCGAGCCTTGACAAAATGTCATAGTCATTAAATACCAAAAGTTGATCTGAATTCAGTAGCTGCTTAACTCCATTCCAATAACTGTTCTTCATGCCGGCCTGCTTTGCTTGATTGCAAAAACAAAGCAAGAGCAAGCAAACAGAAGGACCCTGAGGGGTTCAGTTCACCTCTCCTCAAGCTCATCAGTGATGACCTTAGAACAGATCCCATGTGTTACACTGCACACATATGTTATACTGCTCACATATGTTGCACCGCTCACGTATGTTAAGTTGCTCACATGGGTTACACCATTCATGTATGTTGCACTTTTCCTGCATGTTGAGCTACTCACATGGGAAGCACTGCTCACATGTCTTATGTTGCTTCAGTATGTTGTACTGCTCACCTCTTCTGCACAGCTCAAATGTGTTACATCACTCATATATGGCACACTGCTCACATGCATCACACCACAAACGTGTGCTACCTCTCTCATGTAGGCTTCCCCTCTGGATTGGACCCTGCAGAATAGAGAGCCTCACTGAACATAAGAACAGGGGGCCTTTCCTGTTCACCAGTCTAGACATAGTTAAAGATCTCACAGATGCTGTTGTAAATGAAAAGAGGAGTAGCTGTAGGCATGGCGTGATTATTTATGGCATGCAGAGTATTGTTGCCACTTAACCAATGTTATCTGCATTGAAAGATAAGGCTTTGCGTGACCAAGCAGTATAACCTCAGATCTTAAGAGTATAAAGTGGTTAGTTCATTGTGTCTAAGTACTCAAGAACATAGGCAAAGAAAATGAAGGGCTTTGAATGGTGTTTTGTCTAAATAAAAATGAGGAATTTTTTTAAAGATAAAGGTAATTTCTTTTGAGGAATTTTCAGAGAATAAAATATCGTGGAATTGGATTAACGTAGCATCTCAAACAAGCACTTGTCCAGACGTGAAGACTGTATGTCTCAATCAACTATACAGTTGGCACTGACATTCTGGAGTCTTAGAGCTTGGAAGAAGAATTATAGATCTGGAATATAAAGAGTTATTGATTATCATACAGAGCCTCAACTGGTTCCCAGGACTGGGCCTGCACATCAGATCTCCATGCATGATAGAGACTGCTGCCCTTGAAGAAAGTCCTGGACCCAGCTTGTATTTCTTTCCTGTGCTGCTCCCTTAGAGCTACAAGGGGCTGTCTAAGCAGATTTATATGGATTATAGAAAAAATAGAAGATCATGTTTTTTATTATTGTTTATTACTCCAGACAGGATCTATCTGGAAAATACTTTGTAACCCTCCCCCCCCAAATTATAGTGTGAATCCCTAGTTAGGGAATTGGCTTTGGAGATGGCTCACTCACTAGGTCCCAAATGAAGTCTATCTTTCTCTCTAGTTCCTGATCAGAGTTAAGAGAGAAATAGTCCCCAGTTATCATTATCCCTGTAGTGGTGGCCTGATTCAGGAAGTGACCTTAGAGACACGTGGAAAACATCACATCTGCCTCTACCTACCAAAAGCCAACCAGGTGAATATTAAACAAGGAATTATCTGGAGGTCAATGAAATAACACGTTATTGAACACAGAAGAAAAGGTGATTCCTGCTATAGCTCCTTCTATCATATCCTTTTGCATCTTAGAGAACTACAATGAATTATTATAAACTTCTCCAGGTGGCAACACCAGCTGTAGTTACTTTTAGTGTACGTTTCATTATTGCTGCAAATGATGCATCCATTGCAGCTATCACTTTGAGGAAAACATCAGCATGCATCTGTAGGAGCAGTAACATCTATTGCAGAGAGACCAGTCATGCTACACTGATGCTATCATGCTCATTGGACTTGGAGTGAAGGAGGTAGAAACTACTATAGACACCTAGGGAAGAAACATTCTTACCTCAAAGTAGGAACTAAATCTAAAATATTGTGGAATAAGTTTTTTGTATACTGTCAAGATGTGTCGCTGCCAAGGCTCCTTCTGATTGGCTTAAAAAGAGCTGTCTCATCAATGGATAAACAACAGATGATAGGCACCTCACTTAGGATGTTTTTTTCTGGTTCCATCCATTTACATGCAAATTTCAAGATGTCGTTATTTTTTATTGCTGAATATTACTCCATTGTGTAAATGTACCATATTTTCCTTATTCATTCTTTGATTGAGGGGCATCTAGGTTGTTTCCAGGTTCTGGCTATTACAAATAATGCTGCTATGAGAAGAGTTTAATAAATGTCATTGTGGTTTGATTGAGCATCCTTTGGATATAGGCCCAAGAGTGGTATTGCTGGGTCTTTAGGTAGGTGGATACCCAATTTTCTGAGAAACCGCCATACTGACTTCAGAAGTGGTTTACAGTTTGCATTCTCACCAGCAATGGAGGAGTGTCCCCCATACTCAGCATCCTCTCAAGCATAAGTTTCATTGGTGTTTTTGATCTTGGCCATTCTGACTTATATAAGATGGTATCTCAGAGTTGTTTTGATTTGCATTGCCAGCTGGCTAAGGATATTGAATATTTCCTTAAGTGTCTTTTGGCCATTTGAGATTCTTCTGTTGAGAATTCTCTATTTAGATATGGGCCTCATTATAAATTGGATTATTTGGTATTTTGATGACTAATTTCTTGAGTTCTTTATATATGTTGGTATTCATATATAAACACCTCTTTTTGATGTGGGGTTGGTGAAAATCTTTTTCCATTCAGTAGGCTGCCTTTTTGTCTTACTGACTCTGCCCTTTGCTTTACAGAAGCTTCTCAGCTTCAGGACATCCCATTTATTAATTGTTCTCAGTGTCTGTGCTAATAGTGTTGTCTTTAGGAAGTAGTCTCCTTTACTGATGCATTGAATGCTACTTCCCACTTTCTCTTCTATCAGGTTCAGTGTAGTCAGATTTATATTGAGGTCTTTAATCCATTTGGACTTGAGTGAGTTTTGTACATGGTGATAGATATGGATCTATTTTTAGTCTTCTACATGTGGCATCCAGTTATGCCAGCACCATTTGTTGAAGATGCTTTCTTTTTCCACTGTGTAATTTTAGCTTCTTTGTAAAAGAAAAAATAAGGTGTTCATTGTTGTGTGGATTAATATACAAGTCTTCTATTCCGTTCCACTAGTCAACTTGTCTTTTTTTCTTTATTTATTGTTCTTATTGAGTTATATATTTTCCCCATTTCCCTCCCTTCCTTTTCCCTCCCCTTCTACACTCTCCCATGGTCCCCATGCTCTCAGTTTACTCAGGGGTTTTTGCCTTTTTCTACTTTCCATGTATATTAGATCCATTTATGTCTCTCTTAGGGTCCTTATTGTTGTCTAGGTTTTATGGGATTATGAATTATAGGCTGGTTTTCTTTGCTTTATGTCCAAAAGCCACTTATGAGTGAATACATATGATTTTTGTTTTTCTGGGTCTGTGTTATGTCAATCAATATGATGTTCACTAGATCCATCCATTTGTTCACAATTTTCAAGATGTCATTATTTTTTCTGCTGTATAGTCAGTCCTCCATTGTGTAAGTGTACTCTGTTTTCCTTATCCATTCTTCAGTCTAGGGGCATTTAGGTCATTTCCAGGTTCTGGATATGACAAATAATGCTGCTATGAACATAGGTGAGCACATGTCTTTGTAATACAATTGAGCATCCTTTGAATATAAACCCAAAAGTGGCATTGCTTTTTCTATCGTGTGGAACAATTTGAAGAGTATAGTTGTTAACTCTTCTTTGATGTTCTGGTAGAATTCTTCACTGAAGCCATCGGCCCCTGGGCTTTTTGGGGTTGGGAATCTTCTGATGACTGCTTCTATTTCATTGCAGCTTATAATCTATTTACATTGTTCACCTGTTCTTGATTTAATTTTGGTATGTGATACTTATCCAGAAAATTGTCCATTTCTTTTACATTTTCCAACTTGGGATTTTGTAGTATGACCCAATGAGTCTCTGGATTTCCCTGTTTTCTGCTGTTA